GCCCCCCTCCCCCCCACATCTGAGCCTGCTCTGGCAAAGCGCATTTTACCATTGGAGACCCCCCTCCCCCACCTACCTGCTCCCCTCCCCCCGTTAACTCCCGCCTCCCGCGACCCCACCCGGCCCGGGTACCACTGAGCAGACTGGACAGAGGATGCGGCACCCGTTTGCCAGAAAGCGGCTGCATCCGCGCTGGGATTCAACCGACAAGTGTGTTCTTTCTCTTTCGGCCTAGACGTTCCCTGGCTGGCCCATCACATCTCCGTTCCCACCGCTACCATCCTACTCCCGAGTGTGTGTGAGTGTGTGTGAGTGTGAGTGTGCGCAAGAGAGAATGAGGGCGCCTTCCCCAGGCGCCTCTCAATATGAAGCTCTGACTGTTGAGCCCACAGAGCTGAAGGCAGTGCTAGCAAGAGGCTTAGACGTTTTTACACCACTGCCGCCGCCACCGCCACCACCACCACCGCCACCACCACCGCCACCACCGCCACCACCGCCACCACCGCCAGGCTGCCGGCGCCCAGAGAGCTTTTGGGCTTGTCTGTTAAGAACCACACCAAATCAAGAGAGGTCAGAATCAGGTGAGAGGAGGGGGAGGGAGGAACAAAAATAAAACAAAACAAAACCAGAAACAAAATTAAAAAACAAAAAAAAACAAAAAACAGAAAATAAAAACGAAAACAAAACCACCAAAAACAGGTAGAAGAGGATAAACAAAGGTGGGGGAGGGGGAAGAATAAGAAAAACAGAAAATGATCCAAAGGAACAAGAATAACTGGTTGTATGGCCTGCAGGTTGTGGATTAAATTACGATTCAAAGTTGATTTTGGTTTGTTTTTTTTTTTTTTTTGGTTTTTCTGAAAGATTTGGGGTCTTCCCCTCCCCCAACCCAGAGTGAGAAGGCTGGAAGGAGAGACAGTGAGGATGGGATGGAGGGGCATCCTGCCCTTGTCAACATGCCGAGGCCAGTGGACGGAGGGCGCAGCCCGTCATAAGGAAGTGACGACGACGAAGTAGTGCCGGGGAAGGGGAATCACAGCATGGAACGTATGGGGTGTGGGGTCATCGGGATTAGTGTTCAAGCCGGAAAGATCCGTTTTGCCCTGCGCCGAACCCAGAGCCTCCCCTCTGCACTTCTCGTTTACATAAGAAATAGGAAGGATAATTTCAGAGCCCCTCTTGCTTATCATCAAAAGGTTGGGGAAATCAATTCAAGAAATTGAGCCTGTGACCTCAAAGCTTCTCCTACGATTAATCCCAGTCCGATGGGACGATATTTGGTAGGAAATGTGATCCGGGAACCAGCCCCACTCCTACTGTAAAAATAATGCAGATACAGGGAATGTGCTGACCTAAGGAGCCCTCGAACACAGTTAAAACGGTGGCTGATGACACTCTAACAAGCGTGTGAGCGCCGGCCGGTTTCCCATCCCTGGAAAGCAGGAAGATGCTGCCTGGTTGAAGGCAACCGCTGTCAGATGTCACTGGCCTTTGAAAGGAAGGGGTGTAAGGAGCTGCTCCTCGCGTCTGCACCCCTAGAGGTGTCTGCTCATGCCCCTCAGTGCATGGGGTGTGGACTCAGCAAGATGGCGGGAGGGCGGGGAGGAGGGAGGGCAGGAGGGAACATGCTTGGCCTTCCCTGCCTCCCAGAGGCCTGAGACCCACTGGGTGGAGGCCTCAGGGTCTACCGGATCCCCCACGGGGGGGGGGGGGGGGAAGGAACTCTAGGCTAGGCGTGCGAGGGCGGCGCCCCTCACCTTCGGTTTGGAAAGGTTTCTTTTCTCCTCTGGGATAGACAGAAACACACTGTGGGTTCCGCTCCCATCCCAGAAACCGAGATAAGTAATTAAGCCTCTCAGAATTTTAAACCACCTTAGCCTGCAGATCAAAACATGCTTAAAAAACTAAGATGTCCATGCATTTTAAAAAAATGGGAGAAGGGAGGGGTGGGGATGGGGGGCGGGGCATAAGCAAAAGTGAGAGAGGACAAGGACAAAGGGGAGGGAGGAGGGGGAAGAGAAAAGGGGACACAGGAAACAAGGGAGTGATGTCAAGCAGCATTCCATGCTATATTAGGGCAGAGTAAAAAGATGGGAAAGCAACTTGGTGGGCTCAAAACAGAATCTTGTTAAAATGTCCTCAAATGTCAAATAAAATTAGAAACCCTGTGGAGCGAGCAGAGAGTCCTGATTGGCTAGGAGCGTTCCTGGCGCCCCCCTCACCCTCCCGCCCTCCTGCTGACACGGGGGTTCACATCCAGGGGATGAGTGGAAGCATTCTGAACATGGGACATGAAGACTATGAAGGACAGCGAGACACTCCTTCTAACAGGTGGCCGAGCAAAAGGCGGTGGGAACACCTGGAACACACACACATTTCTGACGGGCCAGAAAGTGCCTCATTGTTTGTAACTGGCTTTCTTTCTGGAAAGCACATTTTGTCCTACTGATTTAGCAGCAAGCCTGATCCTGGCTGGGAGGGAAAGTGGAGGGGAACAGGGGGCAAAGCCCATCGGCCTGCCCTCCCCCAGCCTGGCTCCAACTCCAATCAAGGGGCGGCCTTTTAAAATTCCACTTCTAGCTCCTCACGGAGTTCTGAAAGGAAGCGGAGGGTCCTTCCTTTTTCCTGTTTTGGAATTACACCCTTCAACCAGCTACAGTGCATCTGCTAATGTTTTTAGGGTCCGAAAAACATCCCCACCAGAAGGAAAGTGGCCAGCAGGAAAGTTCTACCGGGGTCAAGGGGGGAAAGAACACCGAGAGACGACGGGGGACCGCGGCCCGCGGACGGACGGCTGGCCCCTCGAAGCTGCACTTTTGCAAATCGTGCTTATGAGGCAGCTACACCGCTGTTGGTTTTTGCTTCTGTTTTCTGTAAAAAGGTCAACGAAACTTCTGGCCTCTGGGGAAGATGACCACACCCTGGCTTTACACAAGGTGCAGGCTGGGCCTGAGGAGGAGATGTCCATCCGGGCCAGTGCTAGCAATTGTAACTTTCAGTGGGGGGGGGGGGGGGGGGGATGTCAAGTCTAACTTGAAGCGAGTGCTTTTGAAACAAAAAAAGGGCTTCATAAACCACCACTCACCGGCCCCCGCCCCATCAGCCCCATCAGGCAACACACCATATTGCGAGGTGGGCACAATGGCCTCAGCCATACATTTCTACAGATCGTGAGAAGCCCTCTCCGGAGTGAGCCCTGTGAGTAGCTAATCCTTCACCACGCCAGGGCGCCTCAGAAGAGGATTCTGCAGCTAATTAGCTTCCTACTCGGCACAAATAAAATTCTGCCACAAACTCACTGCCTAGACAGGGTAAGCAGAGTCCCTGACTTCGCTGGGTAGGCCTCATTAAATACCTAACTCGCTTCATCTACTGCATCACGAATCTCCTTTCTGTGGCCCAGAGAAGACCCCGGGACTGCGTGGGAATGGGATCTGTCACCTCTGGGAACACTGCCATCTCGCGGAACGAGTGACTGTAGAACCTCTCTCCGGGCCTGGGATCCTCGCTCAGCGGGCAGACGGCTGTCTGCGGAGTTCTCTCCCAATAAAGATGCTCGGGGCCCTCTCTCCCCTACACGATCGGCCAACTCCAGGCACTTCGCCAGTCCCTCGCAAGGCATCAGGAGAGGGGAAGAGACACGGGAGACTCGTGGGCATGCACGTTAATGGGATGGACGTCTGGTCTAATGTCTAAACACGGAACACACGGCAGAGGCATGGAAGAGAGGGACACGTGACAGGGAGGCACTACAAACAGGAAGGCGCGTTTGGGGGGTTGAGATACCTACCATCATAATATTCCAAATTCAAAGACTGCTTGTATCAGAACAAAGAAACAACAAATTTAACCAAAGGTGGTCAGTAAAGGAAAGGAAATGAGACAGGAACGAGTTGGTAACCCTCCACCGAGAAGGAAGTACCTACACCTTCCCTGAAATTACAGGTTGGGTGGAAACCTGCAGGCGGAACACGGTGTTTAATTTGCACGCTTCTAGTTCAGTTTGGAAGCAATATTCTCTCTCTCTCTCTCTCTCTCTCTCTAAATAGATCCAATATATATTTTAATCCTGCAGGCTAGCAATGCTGCAGGACTGGACCGCACGACCACCGCCTGCAGCCCTTCAGCTGGTGCACGCCGTTCAATGCCACGCTTCTTTTCAGCACTGTAAAACAATGTCAGCTAAGCTCCTCTGTACAGAGACATGTGGTTTTCAAACGTAAAAGAAAAACAAAACAAAACAAAACCAAAAAACGCCTGCCCCGGAGCCCTTTTCCAAGTGTCCTGACTCCCAAGTGCACGGGAATGCTACTGCTGCCAAGTGTGAGCTCATTTCAGACCTTTGGAAATGGTGGCTCTCTACGCTCAGCACGCGTGCCATGGACCGGGCCAGTTCCAGGATGCTGGCGTTCAAAGCAAAAGGGGTAAGGGGCCTGTCCTGGTCTGTTAAGGTTGCGGTCTCAGTCCTTCTGGGGATCCAGATATGTTATTTGTAAGCGCAAAGTGGGGGGAAAGAGAAAGAGGAAGTGGGGGAGAGGATATGGCATAAAATTAGCAAGGAAATTTTGAAGAATGAGGATCATTAGTCATTGATGCCGGTGGGGAAGGAGATGGGAATGAGGTCAAAATATATTGACACGCTACGGGATCAGAAGGACAGAATGCTTTGATTTTCCCAAAGGCCTCACGGTGGTAATATACCTGCACGGTTTGCACCATAAAGTCTGTCGGTCAAGCCCGAACAGTGCCCGACACTTCTTTGGAGTATTTGCATCTGTTAGCATAAGGTAAACACAAAAAATACAACACAATGGTGGGTCATGCTCGGTTGGATGTGTCATCTCAGCTACAAATGTCTTCTCTAGCACCTCGGTTCTATTTGATTGTCTTTCCTCACCAAGGACATGAAAGAAAAAGACTTCTATGAGTCAAAAGAAAAAAAAAATAAAACAAAACGATAAAACACACACACACACAAAAAAACAACCGGAAACCAAAAAACAACAAGGAAAAATAAATAAAAATAGAGAGAGAAGGAGGGGAAAAGGTGACGTTGTTTGCTTCTACCTAGGCCAGGATTACGATGGATGTAACTGAGCCCCATCCTGAACTGTTATGAGGAAGGGGGTTGGCAGGCAACGGTCCCTGGGAGGGGGCGCGCTGGGGTTGGCTGTCGCTGACCCGAGGAGGCACAAATGATGCTGTTTTACAGTGGCATTTTGGCTAGCAGCAGCGGGGGGAGGAAGCACATCCCTCACAGAGCAGTGTCCCGCACCCTCATGTCTCCTAAGATCCACACACAGAGCTACAAAGCAACAGGCCAGAGAAGGGGAGAGAAAAGGACCGAATAGACCAGCTGCAAACCAGCACAGCGAATCTGGGAAATCTATACACACCTGCAAGGGCCGCACCAGTTATTCTGTTGATCAAGGCCAAAGCGCGCTCGGCATTTCTTAGGAGCGCTCAGGTCTGAATGAGTTCAAGAGAGAAGCGAGCAGAGGAGGAGGACGTGGGAGAGAGAGAGGGAGAGAGAGAGGGGGAAAGAGGGGGGGGGGGAGAGAAAGATACAAATAAGAAAAAAATAAAAATAAAAAAGGGAATAAATCAATGACCTGGTTACTAATTACAAAATATCGACTTTCGATTTTTAACTTTCTTTAATTAGAAGAAAAAAAAAGGTAAAAAATCACATTCTTATTCAACTGGTGAAATTAGCTGTTGCAAATAAAGCTGCAGTATCCCTTCTTTAAGGACTGTCTCTCCGATTCGTTTTGAGCAGATAAAGGGAAGTTAGGTACGGAAAAACTAAATGTTTAAGTGACATTTTTCCTCTTTTGGTTCTGCTTTCCTTTTTTTTCTTTCTTTTTTTTTTGTGCTAGCTCTCTCTCAATTTGTTTTTCTTAAAGAAGAAAATAAAGCGAAGGAGGGAATTAAGTTTGTAACATGCTTTTCTCTTCTCAGAATACAACAGTTTAAAAGAAAAAAATACTACGAATAAAAACAGAACAAAACAAAACAAAACAGAAAGAAATAAAGAAAGAAAAGGGCTGTGGTACTGGGATATTGCAGCTTTTGAAATGGTTTTTTTTTTCTTTTTTTTTTAAACCGATTTTCATTACTGTTAAGAACAGATGAAGGTGAACAGGCAGTGTGAATGAGCTGTTCAGGGTTAGTCAGAAGCTCATAGCAGCTTTTAAGCAGGTACAGTCAGTAAAATGCTAGTGGGTTTGCAAATTAGGAGCAGAAAAGCAAAAGGAAGAAAAAAACTAAAATAAAAAAAAAAGCGAAGGAGAAAATAATCATACTGCGAATGCATGCTTGCGTGAGAAAACTTAGTGGGAGCAACGGAAAATGCCATTAGATTAAGGAGGTTTATTACTGAATTCCTTCCATTTTGGTTGGTTTTCGTTTTTGTTTTTGTTTTAACCAGTCTCTTTTAAAGAAATACTGCATATTCAATTTGCACAGTTAGTTCAACACTAAGTCACTGTCATCACTGCTTAAACAACTGTTATGGGAAAAATAAATAAATAAATAAACAAAGCAAAAGTTAAAGTAAATTCAAAAAAAATAAAAAAAAAACAACAAAAGCAACTGAGAAAAAAATCTACCGAAACATACAAAACCGTGTAGATGGTCATTTTAAAGGATGTTCAAATGTCATACGTGTTTAATGTTAATAAAACTATAATGGCAAGAAAAATTAAAAAACAGTTTATCGACTATTTTAATGACTCAAAATGACATTAGCACCTGTAATCGGAGGAAGTGAAAGGCAAGGATTTAGGAAACATTCGCTGTGTTCTGAAAAAAAAGAACAAATTATACAAAGCCTTCAAAATTTTTGTTGTTGTTTGTAAAAGCCTGGCCTTCTCCAAGGGGACCTTCTGAGATTGCCTATGCAGTATTTCTAATTTCTTCTAGAGAATGACAAACCTCCTTAATTTAAATTGGGTGCAATTTACCACTGTAAAGGCATGCATCAGAACATTCAGGAACAGCCCAGTTAATACCAAACACTCACACACACCCCTTCCTACTCCCGCGGCCCCTTCCTCATCCCTACACAGACACACACGAAATAAGCAGACTGCATAAATCCCGCATAGGCATGCCTACCTCCCTCCTGTTACAGGCTCTGCGGTTATTTAAAAACACATTCCACTAG